TTGTAATAGATATGTAGGATACTGGGGGGAAATGGGGGGGCGGATTGGGGGAGGGGGGTTGTCACTTCAAGGGGTAAAAAGCATAACTATTGCACTCTGTTGTACAGCTAAAACTAATTCTAAAAAATGTGTATTTCATAATAAAAATAATAAAAATAATTAAAATATATATATGCATAAAAATTAAAATCAGCATATGAAACTAGTTGTAAGATTAAGTTGAGAAAGGGGATTGAATATCCTCATGACTTTTCTCTCTTTGATTTTTAGTAGCAAAAAAATTATTCTAGAGATAGGATGTTTTTATGTAATCAATAAGTTCTGAAATACTACTTTTATCGTAAAGGAATAGCCTCATTTCAAAGTTGAACTTGAGAAAACATTTTCAGTTCTCAAATGCAATCTTTAAGAGAAATTTTGAAAAATAATTGTTAAGCTAATGAAAAATTTCTTATAGATACCATAATATAATATAGTTTGTATTATAAAGTTATAATTTTATCATCAAATTGCACTTTTATTTGCTAATGACTTATTGTTATCTAACTGTACTATAATCAACCTCCTTATGCATTCCAATAAAATGAAATGAGGCCCACCACTCATAAGACTTATTTAGGGAAAATAGTCAAAGTGTGTCATGTTCAATCACTATTGAAAATTCTCAATCTCTTTTCTTTCAAAAGAAATGGTAGTAATTTAGTGACAGCATAAGTGAACCTTTTACTCTATTTCAACACACACATATTTGTTCATTAATCTCACACAACAGAAAATGATAAAGGACAAAAGAGTTTACTGTTTCAAAGACTGTGAGGAGGAATAATTTTGAGGTATACAAAGTGTTTTTGAATTGAATTCTCCATACATTTTACTTTGAAGTTTCATTTACCTAAACCATTATATTTTGGCCTGCATTTTTTCTAGTGTCAGGTGTCAATTTCCTATGATAACTCTTAGTTTTATTAAGTTTACATTTAATTAAAACTCTCTAACAACATTAAAATAAACCTTAGGTGCATTTTATGTGCACTTAAATCTATGTCTACCATTTAGGTATTATAGTGACCATAAAATGAATCTGTATTATATGTTTTATACATTGATTAGTCTTAATATTATTGATTTTGATAAATATCCTTATATCACACTGTTTTGTGAATAAAATTTTAAGTTCCAGAGAGAATTATTCATGCATGTAGCTTTTTAATTAAAAAGAGAAAGTTTAGTCAACCTTTTATTTTCAAGAGATAACCACATGAAAGCCAGCTTTTAATTAGTGATTTTGAAGTTTCATTCCCAGTTGCCAAATCAGGTTTCAAAATGAATGTTGGTAATGAGCTAACACTTGAGAGAAGTGGTTAATCATATTGTAGATCATGTCTGAATGCTTAGTTGGGTGGAGCGTGAAAATGCACATTCTCAATCACACTGAATGATGGCAGTGTGTTTATATTTCACAAAAACCGGGATTCAGACCTTTTCATCTCTTTTTTTGTCTCTCTTCATTATACCCTGGGAGTTCTTTTTTGATACGGGTGACCATAAACACAGTTGGCCCACAGGATCTGCTTCATAATTTTCTTACACTTTATTAGTGTTCTCCTCTCTTATACTCAATGCTGTGCTTGATGTCTTACCATTTCTCTGTCTTTTCAGACGACATCCTTTGCAGTGCCATAGCACATGGATTTTAGGACTGCCTGTGAGGAGGTAGGTTAAATGGCTTTCTGCTTTTTAAATATAACACGTATAAACAGGAAACACTTGGCCTTCCTTTATATTAGTGGAACACTGCTTTTAGTGGAGGAATGGGTGACTGGTTTATTTTATTTCCAGGAATCTTGCAGATTCCTTTCTGCAAGACTAGAAAGGCAAAGAGTGCCTGGGAAGCCTCAGATATTCACTCTTCTGTTAAGAAGATGGGAGTATATGTGGTTTGACTAAATTGCCCTTTTCCAAAAACCATGCATTGCATGATTTCAGGTAGTAGAAGAGTTGGAAATAGTTCTTTCCACATAAATAGTTATAAATTAGAAGATGTTTAAGGTCTCTTTCAGCACTAAAATTCTATGACTTTATGATTCCAATATTATTTAAGCATTTCAATGTTATTTAAGTATTAATATATGGAAATGCATATTCTTTGTAAACCTGTCATCATACTTCAGTATGACTTAAAGTTGTACATTGGTCTTTTAAGGATTTTAAAGGCCATTCAAGTGTATAGTAAAAAGTGTATGGACTTGGGCCCTCAGGGAATTGTAACTATTCTATTTTAGAAAGAAAGACTATCTTTTTTTACCAAACATGGGCCATTAAAAGCATGATATTTTCCTTCTTCAGGCAAAATGCAAATATTCATAGGTTAAAATATTTAACATTTGTTTAAAAGGTGTAAAATATTTTTGTTGTGTATAAATAACCCAAGAAAAAACAACCTCAACTAGATTGCCTATGATAGAATTAAAAAGCAACCAACAAAACCTTCAGTTATTACTATTTGTGAAGATTGTTCCTCTGATGAAATGTCACATGTTAAAAATCTTGCAAAAATATCTTCTTTAAAAAAGATTTGTCCCAGTTCATAGTTTAGAACATAAGTTCTTTTAGAAAATCAATAAATTGCTTTTATATTTTCAATACTTATGTTTCTTACATTGTAGTTATTTGTTTAAAAACCTCTCATGGGCACTGGATACTATAAAGTTGTAGTTTATAATTTATTCATTCTTTGAACTTAGCATCTATCAATTCATATTTTTAAAAAATGAATTAATGTTTCAAAAGCTTAAATTTAGACTATGATTCAATAAAGAAGTACTGAAAGAAATCCTACTATAAATAAAGTACTGTACTAGGTCCTATGGATTAATAATCCTTAATTATAAAAACAGTAATATCTTATTAAGATCTTTCTTAGATAAAATATATAAGATGAAGTCAAATATGTGATATAGAGCTAAATATTATAGAAGTCATTTACATATGATGCCTAAATACAATAATTATTAATTGTTAAGTGGCTATATTTATTTAATGAAAACCCTGAGTTCAGAACACTATTGACTCATTTTTGGATGGAGTGGTCTCCAAAAGCTTTACAGAGAAGTGAGTCTTACACTAGTACTTGAAAACTGGCTAGAATTTAGCAAAGAGAAAGTCATGATTAGAGGTAATCTTGAAAAAGAATGGGAAAGAATAAAATGCATGAAATGGCATTTAGTGCACTACTTCTCCAGCAGTATGGTACAGTATAAAAAATTATATATCACTTGAAATAATAGCTTTACAAATTAAATTATACTTGGCCAACAAATTATAAAAATTCTGAGTATACCTGCAACGGTATTTGCAGTGAATGTTATGGTCTGGGCCTAGTTTCTTGTAGTCTGTAGTTTCTTACAACTCATATTATAAAGTATACATTTCAAGATTAAAGGAACATAGATTTTAAAATTTCCAGTTTGTGTTCTTTCAATAAAAAATGAATGATAGTCTACTTTCTAAACTTCCAAAGGTACTAAGTTTAAGGTAAGCATAAGTCCCTAATAAGTTAAAATGTGAGGTTTGTTTTTAAAACAAAAAATAAATTCATGCAAGTACATAAACACATTGCATTGATTTACAGAAAATAAGTCAATAACTAGATATTTAAAAGTATCGTTTTTAACTAATTAAGACATATTGTCCTTTAATAGTCCTCTAAGCAAATAATCTGGGTTTTAGAAAACCCAGCTGCAATATAGGATCATCCATCAGGCACAGAAAAACAGCATTTGAACTTATATAGTTTTTTATGAATCATCCTTTTAAAATTTCAATTTTATATGTTTTAGAGTTTATATAATATACTTATACATTTTATAACACATAAGAGGAATGACAATTATGTTCACGAACTCATCCTAGATAACATGTTACATACCTCATTACTGAATATCTCTATGGTCACCTTCAAAGTACTCCCCTTGAAAAGCTATGCACCAATGCCAGTGCCTAGTCCATGCTGTAAAGCAATTTTGGAACTCTTTTTTCTGGAATGGCCATCAGAGCTGTCGTCATATTATCCTTGATGTGCTAAATGTCATCAAAATGTCTACCTTTCAATATTTCCTTTATCTTTGGGTAAAGAATGAAGTCAGTGGGGGCCAGATCAGGTGAGTAGGGAGGGTGTTCCAATGCAGTTATTTGTTCACTAGCTAAAAACTCTCTCACAGACAGTGCCCTGTGAGCTGGTGCATTGTTGTGATGCAAGAGCCATAAGTTGTTAGCAAAAAGCTCAGGTCGTTTTCGTCTAACTTTTTCATGCAGCCTTTTCAGCACTTCCAAATAATAAACTTGGTTAACTGTTTGTCTAGTTGGTACAAATTCATAATAAATGAATAATCCCTCTGATACAAAATATCTCATGAGCATTGTTTTGACTCTTGATTTGGACTGACAGAACTTTTTTGGTTGTAGAGAATTGGCTGACTTCCATTGTGCACTTTGATGCTTTGTTTCAGGGTCCTATTGATACACTCATGTGTCATCACCAGTGACAACATGGCCCAAAACTGCGTCTTGTCTCTCCAAAAGGTCTTGGCAAACTTTGACTCTCCTTTGCTTTTGTTCATCAGTGAGCTCCTTCAAGACCATTTTGCACACGACTTTCTCATGCCAAGATTTTCCTGTTTCTCTAACAATGTTTACTTGGTCTACAATGCTTCTCACAGTCAGCTGAAAATTTTGATGCACAATTTGATGAGTTTTTGCAATGTTTTCATCTGTTCTGCTTGTTACTAACAACACTGACCTCTCTTTATCAGTGACACATTCTCTCCTCTCAGAAAATATGTTTAACCCATTTGTACACTGCCATTTTCTTCATGGCATTATCCCCATAAACTTGGACTAATGTATCTAATTTCACCTCCACTTTTGCCAAGTTTAACAAGAAATTTAATGTTTGTTTGTTGCTCCGATTCAAGCTCATTCTTGCGATGGCGCACAAAAACATGCAACAACAATAATGAACACCACTCAGCAAGACACCACCACATGTAGACATGAACACAGCTGTGAGGCACTGATATACCACGGTTATGAAACCTTACCGAGCTGTTAGTACAGTGTCGCCAATGTAAGTGCATGGTGAAAGTTTTTTAACTTAATTGGCAGACCTTGTATATTTCGAGACTTTTCTGTGATGTATACACAGTCAAAAAAGCTTGAAGAAAGATGATTGTTGTGTTAATGAACAGAAGATGAGTGCAGATCTTAAGTTTATACTAAATGTGGGGTGAATAACTACTTAGGTACTTTTTTATTTTTAAACAATCTGGGTGCACAGATCTGTCAAGACTTTGTGGTGGACTGTTTTAGGTTTCTCTGCATTAGTGGCCACTATCATGGTCCTGTTTCCCATTCTTACTCCGGAAACAATGCAGGGGGACAAGTGTGTGTAGAGCAACCTCTTCCCATATCTGACAGTGTCTTATACTTCCTTAGTAGCATGTCTTTGACAGGAAAATCGGTGGTTGTGTCCAGAGTGGTCTCTTACTCATTGTGTTTCCCCTCTAGCAATCATTGCTTTGATACATGAAGAACAGCTGGTTCAAGATGAGGTCCTTCTCAGAACTGTTTGCACTCCCATAAGAGATTCTAGGTGACCAAAATGCTACCTGGGGAAAGAAACCAATAGCCATGCGGTTGTATACAGGCAGATTGGAGGAGGCAACCCTCAAATAAATTCTGTCTGAGGGAAACCCAAGATAGTGGTTAAGAGCACAGAATCTGGAGCCCAGCAGCCTGGGTTCAGATCCTGACTCCCACTCATCTCTGCTCCTCTCCTCCTGTCCAATCTATGAGACTGGTTGCACTGGGTTGTTAGGAGGGTCAAAAATTAATATTTCTTGGCACACAGTAAGCTCTATATAAATGGTTATTAAACAACAAATAAATGAAATGCATGACCACATTTCATTATTGGAGATACAGTAGAGCAATGCTGCTCTGAATCAGGAGAGTGCCCTCAAATGGATTTTATCCATTTTCTTTCACCTGCTATAGCAGCTCCGAATTTAATGCAAGTGTTTACCAGTCCACAACATTTCCAGTTCAAGCTTTATTTTTCTATCAACAAAAACTGTTTTAAACTTTATAAATTCCTATCAATCTTATACTCTGCTATAAGAAATGCTTTTATAAAATGTACATGTAAATACATTATTTCACTGCTGTGATTTCTTTAAGGCATCTCCATTACCTTCAAATCCCAGGCACATCACACAAGGGCCTTGCCCTACCTCCTTCTCTTCTGGCGCTTATCAATAGGCCCCTTATGTATCACAGGGAATCAGCGCCAGGGATGTGTTCTTGTGCTACAGTATTCTTGAATCATAAACTAAGCATTCTTATGCTTCCATATCTTTACTTTTTTTCACTCTTAAATAAAATAACTTTTGCCTCCTTCAATTTTCATTTCAACTTATTTTTGTCAAGACAAACCACACATTTTTCTATTTATAAAGCCTCATTTAACACTCCCTTCTATCAAGAATATACCATTCCTCTCTCCATGTTTCTCCCGTATCAGATGTCACATTGCATCTTATATACGAGGTCTGTCAATTAAGTTTGCGTACTTGTTGCAATGATGTTGCTTACTTTTTTGATATCAGGAGGATTATTCATTATGAATTTGTACCAAATGGACAAACAATTAACCATGTTTACTATTTAGAAGTGCTGAAAAGACTGTGTGAAAAACTAGACGACCTGAACTTTTTGCCAACAATCCATGGCTCTTGCATCATGACAAAATGCTCCAGCTCACAGGGCACTGTCTGTGAGGAAGTTTTTAGCGAGTATACAAATAATTGTATTGGATCGTCCTCCCTTCTCACCTGATTTGGCCCCCAATGACTTCTTTCTTTATCTGAAGGTAAAAGAAATATTGAAAGGAAGACATTTTGATGACATTTAGCACATCAAGGGTAACATGACAACAATTCTGATGGTTTTTCCAGAAAAAGAGTTCCAAAATTGCTTTGAAGTGTGGACTAGGGGCTGGCATTGGTACATAGCTTCCCAAGGAGAGTACTTCGAAGGTGACCATACTGATATTCAGCAATGAGATATATAGCACTTTTTCTAGGATGAGATCGTGAACTTAATTGCCAGACCTAGTATGTATATTTTTTGTAAGTAAAAATATGCTGTCAGAGACTTGCCTAATTCATATCTGGCTCTTTTAATGTTCTACAATATTTTCAAAATTGGTGCATAAACGGGATTTTAAATGTACTTTCTTGAACACAAACTGCATTTTCATAATGGAATATATCTAACATCTATAATTCCTGGAAAATGCCATATAAATATATATATATATATATAATATATTATATTATATATATATTATATATATAATTTATATATTTTATTCTAATAAAAAGCTGCCCCATTCTTTCATTCTCTCAAAACCAAAACATAAGTTCAACATCTGTATTTTTTTTCTGGACAACTGTCTAATAATTTGGGGATATTTTAATTTTACACATTATTTGAATGTTGAGTGAATGAAGCTTGAACACATCTGAAATGTGATAAGGGAAGCCTCATAACTGTTTTAGTCCTTTGAACTTTCCCTGAGTGATCTTTTATATCCCTTTGATGTATAACAATAATGTATTGTTATATTTATGGGTTCTTATTATTAATTATTAATTTATTATATTAATATTAATGTATTGTTATATTTATGGGTTATTATAATTATGGGTTCTTTCATCCTTAAGTTGAGACAGAGCATTATTTGTGAATGCCTGCTCTGCCATTACACTTCTGGATAAAAAGTGGACCAAATGAAAAATCAGCAAATGAGCTCAATTCTGTTCACCTGGCTTTGACGTTATACCCCTCTCTGCCCCATGACACCTCAGAGAGTCCCAATGTTGTCTCCTAGCCAGGATCACATTATAAGCGCAAGAAACGTTTCCATGTGAAAACGTAGAAAATTATGTTCTGTGTTAAGAAAAATATAATTTGCTTTAGCTGAAATATTTTTGTCTTTTAGACATATCCACTGGAGTTCTGTTCTAGAATAGATTAGTGAGTGCCTGCTGTGCACCAGTCTCAGAGGAGGAAAGAACATCATCCTTGCTCTTGAAAAAGCTTGTTTTTCCTTAAAATATATCATAACCCTTGCAAAATAATTATAAACTAGTATAATGTCACATGTTATAGAGTGTATAATTGTATGTATTACCATATATGAGTAGGTTAAAGCAGTTTACCAGAAGAGTTATTTTTGGAGGTTGCCTTATCTAAGTATATGCTCATCAACATTATGGAACACATCTTTAAAGAAACAAAATCCTAACAATCCACATGTAAATTTATACTTCAAGACAGAGAGAAAACTTGGTATTATTTGGCTGGGATAATGTGTTCATTAAATGCTAAGGATATACTGTACATGTATTTCTATGAGCATGTCCCTTTATCCAATTTAAGAATAGTTCAATAATTATTAAATAAAAACATAATTGCCAGAGTTGTCATTGTTCCTGTTGACTGGTTGGTGCAAAATAACAACCGGAGATTATATTCTGTCTCAAAAGAATTTCCTTTTATATCTCCAACAAATGGGAACATTAAGTGCAGTTGCTAGGGAGAATCTGCCTATTTATCTGGGTGATGTTATAACACTGACATGCTTCAGGAGTAATGATTCATGGACTTCTCTAGTGATTACTAGACTTCTGATTTAAACCTATTTAATACAAGTTCAGACGTCTTTACAGGTTGTTTCACAATTCCAAAAGAGGTGTGAAGCAAAAAACAGTGGATTGGGAATAAAAATCATGGGTCTCAAACCAGGCTCTGTTTTTAATTAACCGTATTAATTTAGGCAGCTCAGTTCACTTCTTTATCCTTGTTCCTTCATGTGTATAAAGTGTGTGTGTGTGTGTGTTGGTGACTAGAAATGATTAAATTGTGAAGGTTAAAGAAGATGTTTAGAATGTATATTTTTAGATTTAAAATTCTATAACAGAGAGAGTAGATTAGTGTTGCCTAGGCCTGAGGAGGAGGCTGGGAATGGTGGTAATGGGTTTCTTTTTGGAATAATGAAAATCTTCTGAAATTATAGTGATGGCTGCACAACTTTTAATATACTGAAAAACATTTAATTGTACACTCTAAATGGTTGAATTGTATAGAATGTAAATTGTATCTCAATAAAGCTGTCTCTCAATATAAAAATTTTATATTTAAATAAGTAGTAAACAAAATTTTTATTTATCTCAAATATAGTGTATAAACTATACTCCTTATTCTCCATTATTATTTTCTCTGTACCTACATTAAGTATTGTTTCAGACTCATTGGAGTGCATTTTTCTTAGCTCTCAAATGTTATTCATCATGTTTTACATTAAATACACCATACAATTGTAATCTATAAACTAAGTATAATGTTTTTTTCTGTTCTGCTTTTTTTTTTCCTGTCTGAAGACAAAGACAGGGGTTTGTTTGCTGCAGGATGGTAATCAGGAGCCTTTCAAAGTCCGGCTGCACCTAGCCAAAGATATTTTGATGATCCAGGAACAAGATGTGATATGTGTGTCTGGTGAGCCTTTGTATTCTGGTGTAAGTAGTTTTTTTCTTCTGTTGAATTTTGCTTATGCACAGATTTTCTTTTAATTCAAGTTTATTGGGGTGACAATTGTTCGCAAAGTTACATAGATTTCAGGTGTACAATTCTGTAATACATCATATATATGTCACATTGTGTGTTCACCACCCAGAGTCAGTTCTCTTTCTATCACCATATATTTGATCCCCTTTACCCTCATCTACCACTCCCCTCCTCCCTTAACCTTTGGTAACCACTAAACTATTGTCTGTGTCTATGAGTTTTGTTTCTTCATTTGTTTTTCTTGTTCTTTTGCTGTTTTCAGTTTTATATACCACATATCAGTATGGTTCTCAATTTTTTCTGTCTGGCTTATTTCACTTAGCATTATAATCTCAAGATCCATCTATGTTGTCACAAATGGCACTGATTCAACTTTTCTTATGGCAGAATAGTATTCCATTGTGTATATATACAACAACTTCTTTATCCAATCATCTATTGAATTTATAAATATATTTTACTTTTAAATCCTAGTCAATCACCCTGCGTGTAGTGTTTTTTTTTAAACTGAGCCATCCTGCCACTTGTTGGCAGCTCAGTGGCAGCTCAGCTCGGACCAGACATCGAACTGCTGTTGCTCAGAGCTCAAACTCTTGAGCGAGCTCTTAACCAACTGAGCCACTCAGCTGGCCCACCACCCTGCATGTAATTTTTGTCTACATTATGAAGGAAGCAGTGTCTTTGTATAAATACTCATACGTGGGTCCACAGCCACACATTTTGTGCCCATTTCCAGTTTGGAGTCTCATTGACTCCTAGTTGTCTACATGTGACTGGAGTGACACCTGTATTTTCTGATCATGAAAGATTGATTATATTGTACCTTTTTACACAGAGGACTAACTGAGAATAGTACATGGCAGTTTTTCCTGCCCTGATCTTAACTCACAACACATTGAACTTCTGGTGGTAGTGCAAAGGTGGAGTCCACTTCTTGGCATTTGAGAAGCATAAGGCTTTTTACATAGTGGTCACTGAACTCTGTGTCAGTGCTTTACACCAGGGGGTTATGCATGAATAATTCTGTAGACTTCCTTGATAGAATTATGCCTGAATGTTGTAGCATGTTCTGTCTAATGCTTTAAGCAGTAGACATAGTATTGGGTTGTCGGAAAAGTCATGACACATGTTGTCGAAAAAGTCATGATGCATTTTTGCAACGAAAAACATAGAAAAATATGTCATGACTTTTCCAACAACCCAATACTATGCTGCTAATCTAGACTCATAAATGATCAATCAAACTCATTGGTCTGCTAACTAACACTGAAGTACCACTGTGGAAGATATCTTTAGCTAAAATTAGATTAAATTCAACAAAACTATTTTATCATGAAACAGAACAAGGTTTAGAATGTATCTTTTTTTTGTGTGTAATAACACAAAAGATGTGTTAAACACATCATCTTAACAGTGTTGCCATATGTGATCTCAGAAGAAAATTACAAGCATCAAACAGTTGGTTTCCTGGATTCCCCAGACATTTGTAGCTATTTAGCAGGAAGATTTAATTTGTAGCTTATTAACAGACTTACCTTGCAGTGTTTAGTTTGTGGTGAATAATGCTGAATTTTCCATCTCACTTCTCACTAACATCTTATGGAAATCACATCAGGTCCTACCTCAATAGGTCGTTGCTAACTAAAGATAATGGACATTTTGCAGACTGTTAACTGTTCTTTTGTCACAGACCATTTAAATCAGCCTGAATCATGAGTCTTGCTGATAAGGCTGATTGAATTGTTTTCATGGGGTTGCCCTTTATCCCTTTCAATTAACAAAAGAGTGGTGTTTGATGCCTTTCCTTCCTTCCTTCCTTTCTTCCTTTTTTCTGTCCTTCCTTTTCTTTTTATCTATTTTACTGCAGAAATATGTTTCATATAACTCTCTGGAATGAAATATTGCACAGATAAGTACAATTTTGTAATTTGTAAAATTCAATATTTCAACATTGAAATAAGGTTTTGTTTTTAATTTTGTGGTCAAAATACCTAGTACACAAAGACCTCTTTGTGTACAAAGATCTCTCTTTTGAAAAGAGTGTTAGAAAAAACTCAAACAGAGTGAAGGTGAAATATCCTATGATAATGTCAGTAAATGCTAAAAAAAAAGAAAAAGAAAAAAGAAAAAGAGGCAAAATTTGACACACATTTATAAGAAATATTTCTGCAAATTATGAATGAGATGGAACTTTTATGAGTCACTAATGTTATATTTAACATTAAGCGTACTCTGAAAGCAAGTCAAGAATCATCAGTTGCCTCCTTTATACTCAATATTGTTTTGGTTGTACAGCAAGTAAGGAAATGGAAATAACAGCATAATAATTGGAAAGAAAGAGGTAAAGTGGTATTATTTTAGATGTCATAATTATGCACATAAAAAAGCCTAAGAAATCTACAAAAAATAGAATAACATGTAAATTTAGCAAGGTTGCTGGAAATAATGGCAAAGTCAAAATTAATTATATGTCTATAATTTGTAACAAACAAAATAAAAGTGCAATTCACAATATATGAAAGGTATCTCTTTGGAATAAACTTAACAAAATGTGTATAAACCTTCTACCTTGAAAACTACAAGACTGTGATGAAGAAAATGAGATAAACAAATAAATGGAGAACTATAGCACAATCATGAATTAAACACTAAATATTGCTAAGTTTTCACACCTTCCCAAATATCCAATATCAATTAAAACCCAAAAATGTTTTTGTAGATATTGCCAAGTTGATTCTAAAATTTACATGGAAATACAAAGGACTTAGTATAGCCAAAACAATCTTGACTAAGAACAAAGTTGGAGTGTTTATACTTCCTAACTTCAGAACTTACTATAAGACTATAATAGTGATTTTGTCATAAATATAAGCACATGAATCAATAAAACATTTTCAAGACTCCTGAAACAGACCCAAATTTATATGGTCAATTGCTTTTTTTAATTGTGGTAAACTATACATGACATAAAATTTACCATTTTAACCATTTTTAAGTATGTAGAGTACATTTAAGTGACACAGAGTACATTCCCATTGTTGTGTACCTATCACTGCTATCCATCTCCAGAATTTTCATTATTGCATACTGAAACTATGTACCCATTTAGCAATAACTCCCTGTGCCTGCCTCTCCTCAGGCCCTGGTTACCATTGTTCTACTTCCTGTCTCTATGTATTGACTCATATAAGTAGAATCACACAGTATTTGTCTTTGTGCTTCTGGCTTATTTCACTTTGTATATTGTATTCAAGGTTCATCCTCATGGACTAGGATTTCATTCCTTTATAAGATTAAATAATAATATTTTATTGCAAGTATACTCATTTTGTTTACCTTGTTTATCCATCCACCCAACAATGCACATTTATGTTGTTTCCACTTTTTGGCCCTTGTGAATAATGCTGCTATAACACGTGTGTACAAATATCTGAGTCACTGTTTTCAATTCTTGTGTGTATGATCTCAGAAGTAGAATTGCTGGATAAAATGGTAATTCTCTGCTACCTTGTTGCTTAATCCATTATCAGATATGTGATTTGCAAATATTTTCTCCCAACCTATGGGCTGGCTTTTTACTCTGTTGTTTCCTTTGATATATAAAAGTTTTTCATTTTTATGAAGTCCAATTTATCTATTTCTCTTTTATTGGCTGTACGTTTGGTGCTACATCCAAGAAAGCATTGCTAATTTCAATGTTATGAATATATATGTACATATATAACATTGATATTATATATATGTACATATATATAAAATCTTATATTTTCTTTTAATAGCTTCTAGTTTTAGCTTTTACATGTATGTATTTAATCCATTTTGAGTTAATCTTTACATCTGGTGTTAGGTAAGAATCCAAATTTATTCTTTTGCAGGTGGATATCCAGTTTTTCTAATACTGTTTGTGTTTTGGCACCCCTGTTGAAAATCATTTGACCATACGTGTGAGGTTTTATTTCAGGGCTCTATATTCTACTCCATTGGACTATATGTTTATCTTTATGTCAGCACCACACTGTTTTGATTACTGTAGCTTTGGGGAAATTTTGAGATCAGAAAGTGTGTGGCATCCAGATTTGTTGTTTTTCAAAAACAATTTGGAGTTTCTTGAAATTCTATCTAAATTTTAGGATGTTTTTTTTTATATCTGTAAAGAAATCACATTGGGATTTTGATGGGGATAGCACTGAATTTGTAGTTTACTTTGGATAGTATTGGCATCTTAGCAATATTAAGCCTTTCAACCCATGAACATTTTATTTATATATGTCTTTAATTACTTTCAGTAATATTTTGTAGGTTTCAATGTATGTCTTTCACCTTCTTGGTTAGTTAATTCATAAAAAATGTTATTCTTTTTGATGTTATTAATGGAGTTGTTTTTTAATTTTCTTTTTAGATTGTTAATTGTTCGTGTATAGAAATGAAACTGGTTTTTGTGTGTTCACTTTGTATCTACTAATTTGCTGAAAACTTTTTTTAGTTCTAATTAGTTTGTGTGTTTGTGTATGTGTGTGTGTAATCTCTAGGCTTTCTACATATAAAATCATGTCGTCTACGAACAAAGATAATTTGACTTCTTCCTTTATAATTTGATACCTTCTATTTCTTTTTTTTTTTTTTTTTAGCTGAGCCATCCCGCCACCTGTTGGCAGCTCACGGCTGCTCAGCTCGGGCTGACTCGAACCACTGTTGCTCAGAGCTCAAACTCTTGAGCGAGCTCTTAACCAACTGAGCCACTCAGCCGGCCCTATACCTTCTATTTCTAATTTCTAAAATATTTTTTTATTTCCCATTATAGTTGCCATACAATAGTATATTAGTTTCAGGTGTATGACATAGTGATTAGACTTTTATATAACTTACAAATTGATAAGTCTAGTACCCATCTGATGCCGTACATAATTATTACAATATTATTGACTATATTCCTTATGTTATATTTTACATC